AGGTAACGAAAACTGAAGTGCCGATCCCAGTTTTTTCCTAATTACTAATTGGAAGAAAAATGATAATGATAATTGACATGGGTACTTCAGAAATTCACAGAAGATTCATCATGTTGCTTCAATTCCTGCCATGAACAATAAATGGAGCCCATTTTGAAACTAATGCTGCTTTATTTACAAAGTCTTTCGATTTGTAGTGAAATAAGCAAAAAGCACATCAATACAGAGCTCAAAATAAAGCTTTCTCAAAAACACAAAATGGGTTTTCAAGAAAAGAGTGTCTCTCTTTTGGGTCAACTTCAATTCAATAAATCAATGGGGGAAAAAAAACATGCATGCAATGCATCCTTTAAAAAAGAAGAAGAAGAAGAAGAAGAAGAAGCATGAAAAAGGTGGTCATAGTGATTACCGAGGGAGAGGGAAGTATTAGTGTTAGTGCCCAAGATCCAACCATGTTTGGATAAACTCATGTTAATGCATTATTGCATCATTTATTTTAATAATAAAGAAAATCATTCTATTAATTTTTATGTTTACATGTTGATAAATTCAATAGAATTAGGTATAAGTCCTTATGATATGCATTTACAATAATGATAGATCGAAAGATGTGAGACAAACACTAATACATATAAATGATATCATTAAATGTCCCAAGTCATAGCATTATCAAGAATGGATATTGACAAAATACGGATAGACTTGTGAGTGTTTGCTCATGCTATATGACGAGTAATAGAAGATCTCACACATATTGGCATGGTAATGCCTAAGCAAGCACTTAGGTGATTTATGTTAGAGAATGTATCACTCGGACTTGACTCACTATGAGAACCCATTTGGTTTTAGTTTATGGAAATCTTATACGAGATGAGTACAAATGGCCCTTAGACTTGAGGTCGTCACGGTTATCTCATTTGAGGATTTATGCACTTTGACAATCGTTTCGATGGACCCATTAATGGATTACACGTGAGCGATTCATTGGGTGCACTAGGAATCCAATGGAGATAAGCTAAGATATGTCATTCCTTATATGCTAAAGGAGTTATCATATTGCACTTCGATAAATGTCCGCTCAAGAAATCTATAGCCATAATAGGAGTACACCAATAAAGTACGGTTGGTTTACTCTAGGAGCTAAGACCTTTGAGAATCGAAGAAAGCTTGTGTGATCATAATCGAACAAGACTAATAACCAAGTTTGAGATCACACTCGTGATAAGTTGACATAAGGACTAAATTGTATGGTAACTATGCTCGTAAAAGGTAATAATGGATTAACTAATCCTCCTAGAGAATTAGATAGTCATAATGTCTTGCTAGAGGTCAATCTTGATTTATATATCAAGAGATAAAAGAGGAGTCTTTTATTATTGATACATTTACAACATATCTAGGAGTCTATTAAGTCACATGCATAAGTTTAAGTACTCACATTACAAATGAGAAGCAAAGATATTGAAAAAAAGGTTTTCAATTATAAAAGTTTCCTATTTTGGAAAAAGTTCCAAAATAAAAAGTTTTCTAAAATAGAAAGTTTCTTATTTTAGAGATCAGTTTTCTAATTTGGAAGTTAGTTTCAAATTTAAAAATTAAGAGCCCAAAAGGAAATGAGTTTTCTAATTTAAATTAAAAGGTATTTTAGAAAATTATTTTGTAATATGGACCTCGCCATAATAATCTAAGAATATTTATTTGAATGGTCCAAATAAATTAATTGGCCTAAAATAGTTTTGACTCATTAGATTTAATTAAGAGCTTTGAGATAATTTTAGTAGGAGGATAAACATCAACCTTATTAGATAAGATTGAATATTTTAAAAATAAACATTAACCTTATTAGATAAGGTTGAATGTTTTAGTTTTAAAGATAATAATCAAATTATCCACATAAAAAATAACTCCTCATCCTTGAAGGATAAGGAAGCAACAACCTAAAGTCCTTCATGGACTCATAGCGCTCCATCTCCTTGTCCTTGGAGGACGAGAAAACTCTCATATAAATATATAGGAGGGAGAGAGAAAATTCGGCCAATATAAGAAAGAGAGGAGAGAAAAAATTTGGCCGACCCAAAATAAAATTAGGGCACACGACCAAAAGTGAAAAATAAGGAGAAAATAGTTTTCTCCTAAACCATAGTAAGAAACACTTTATCCCTCTCCTTTAAGGTTGTCGCAAAATTGTTCGGGATTGATTTCTAGAGGAAATACTAAATCATAAAAGGTGAATCTAACACCTCATTAATTTTAAGTGTTTCTTTGTGGATACTTTGATTATATGGATTATCAATAGAGGTTGGGTACTTGGATGACTTTGTTGAAAAAGAATTTAGATTTACACTACAAGAGGTAATCCTTTACTTATAACTTATTATTCATGTATGTATGGTTAGTAGATTCAACGGCTTGATCTTGGAGCCTTAGATAGAGAAATTTTATTTATTTATTCCGTACCTCTACGGGATACACGATCCTTCAAGAAGAAGCGACAATTGTTGTTGCTGTCTGCTGCAGCCGATCACCATGAGAAAAAGAAGAAAAAGATGTAGTGGGGGGGATGAGAGAGGAGGAACATGAAAAGGACGGAATTTCTCTATTGTTTATATTTTAGTATGGGATGAGAGTTAACATACTTTTTTTTTTTTTATCTAATAGATAAGGTTGAGGAGGAACATAATATTGGACAAAGATTGTTGGAGATGGGTTCTTTTTCTTAATGATGAAACTAGTTTGAGGAAAAAGAGCAATGATGAACAGGAAAATAGAAAAAAATGAGATAGGAGCATCCTATGGTGAAAAGGCTATGGAAACATGAAAAAAATAGTTAAAAACCCATGTTTTTGCAACTAAAAAGAAAAGGAGGAAAACGGCCAGCATCCATGGAAAGAAGCCCAAGTATTACTAATTCGAGGAAATAAAAAGAGAGTCGGAGAAGAGAAAGAAGATAAGAATTGTTGCGAATCAAATAATAGAAAGAGACCAAGAAAGAATTGAGAAAAAGAAAGGGCATGAACAGTAGATCTATAATGCAACCGAATCTAAATGAACGAGTAAATGGATAGTCGAATCCTTATTCTTTTAGCTTAGTTGTTAATGATTTTTTCACATTTGCAAAAAATCACGAATTTAAATATTCTCTTTGAATATATAAGTCTAAAAAACCCTAAATACAAGAAGAGGTTATACTAATCTTTCATTTTGAAGTAGTGCCAATTTACTGTGGTAATACGATTCCCTTTCTTTTTCTACTATCCATTAACGTCTAATAAATGAATTCCTTGTTATGGGAAAAAAAGAAAAAGAAAAAACCTTTTTATTTTATAATATTATTTATTTATTTATTTTTTAATGAAATAAACCATGTATCCTTAAAAGCCCTCCTCACATAAAACAACGTGGAGGTTTTTTTTTTTTAATCAAATTCGAATATTTTTTAATCTTTATTCTTTAAATAATGTAGTTTTAAACGTAATTCTCAAATTAGACAATTTTTTGCCACATAAGATATTTTTATTCATGTCACGTTTTTTCTTCTTGTAATTAATTCGTCTTCTTCTCTAATGTTAAACATGATTGCTCCCTAGAAATCTCCAATGTTAAATGCACTTTTTTCCTATAGTTAGAAGCCAATTGCTAATGTACAGAATCATGAACAAGGTACCATTTCTATGAGGGAAAGGAATCTGTGATTCAAAAATTTCGCTCATCCTTCCACCATAAGGAGTGAACACTACTACAGGATCCTCTTCTTCCAATAACTTTTCCCATAACTCTTCAAGTGCGCTTTTATATATGGGTTCTTTGGTATAGTCCGACTTGGCTTTGAAGTAAGACTTCAGGAGGAGTATTATTTAGGAAGCTATCAAGATATACTATAGAATTGATTCGGTTTGTTTCAATACAATGCTGTCATGCCAAGCCTAATTCAAGGAAGCTCTGTTTCATTATCTGAAGAAGTCTATTGGTATCTCTAAGAAACAAGGCATTCTAAGAAGTTGTACCAGTTCTTTTGTCTTCATTACGGATGTTAGTTGTCTGCATGCTTACTCTGATGAAAAGATCCTTATCAAGTTTATTGGCAATTTGTTGCCATTTGTATAGGAGCTTAGTTGCACCTTGTTCTAAGGTCTTGGTAACTGTAAAAACTATCACAATTGATGGTACAGGAACCAATTTTACCTTCCAGGCAGTGATGATTCCAAAGCTGCCCTAAGCACCTCTTCTGATTGCCAGAAAAGATCTTCGCCCATGGCTTTTCGGTCAAGAACTCTTCCACAAACATCAACATACGAGCATCAATAACATTTTTTTTTAGGTTGGACCATTGCCGAAAGGGGGAGGGGGTATATTTTAGGTGAAAGAGGGCCATGGCCTCTTGTCCCCTAAGAAATTCCTTCATCAGGAGCCCATATATAGGTCCCTTAAGTAATTTCATCTGCTTGCTAATGCTTTTATTTTATTTAATTGTGTAATCATGTTTGCCTAATAACAAGTTATCTTTGTACCTGGTTTTCTCCTAGACAAATCAAATCCTCTCTTTTTAGACTTTGTAAGTTGATGTAATGGAAAATCTGCATCTAGAGATTTAATTGGTTTTGTTGGCCATGTAGCCTTGGTTGACATATTAGTTGCCAAAACACGGGCTTGGGAAGAAGATCGTGGCATACAGTCTGCATATGATGGTGTGCCTCTCCTTGCCATGCTAGATGAATATGCCATGCTCAGGCAGGAAAGAGAAGAAGAGAAGCAGAGGATGAGGGTGGGTTCCAGCTTTACCTGAAAAGCTTGAAGCGAGATGTGAAGAAACAAAATCATACCATTTGATGACATATACGTCTACGTATCAATAAATAACTACTTTGATAAATAAGTTTAAAAATACTTTTTTTTTTTTTAATAATAAAAATTTTTAAATACCCTATTTGTTAAAAAAAGCTCAAACAACGTGCAATAAAAATGAGACAGGAAACCCAAAGGTCGCCTGCACTACCACTGCCATGGTCGAGCTCCCCAAATCTCTCTCTGCAAGACAACTCTTCAAGCTCCTCAAAGCCGAAAGAAGCGTACAATCAGCACTCGCTCTGTTCGACTCAGCAAGTCGCCAACCAGGTTACACTCACTCACCCCACATTTTTCTCCACATTCTCCGCCGACTCACTGATCCAAAACTCGTGGTTCACATGTCTCGTATTGTTGAACTTATTAAAGCCGAGAAATGCAAATGCACAGAAGATGTTGTTTTAACAGTATTAAAAGCTTATGCAAAAAACAAGATGCCAAACCAAGCCTTAGATTGCTTCCAAAAAATGGAGGAAATTTTTGGGTGCAAGCCTGGAATTAGATCTTACAATGCTTTGTTAAATGCTTTTATTGAAGCAAATCAGTTAGAAAAAGCAGAGTCTTTGTTTGCTTATTTTGAAACGGTGGGTATCTTGCCTAATTTGCAAACTTATAATATTTTGATCAAGATTTCGGTTAAGAAGAGACAATTTGTCAAGGCAAAAGGGCTGTTGGATGGGATGTGGAGTAAATATTTAAAGCCTGATGTGTATAGTTATAGTACTGTGATTAATGGGTTGGTGAAGAGTGGGGATTTGGTAAGTGCGCATGAGGTGTTCGATGAAATGTTTGAAAGAGGTTTAGTTCCTGATGTGATGTGTTATAATATAATGATTGATGGGTTTTTTAAAAGAGGGGATTATCCCAAGGGGAAAGAGATTTGGGAGAGGTTAGTTAAAGGGTCTTGTGTTTATCCAAATGTGGTTACTTATAACGTTATGATTAATGGGTTGTGTAAGATGAGGAGGTTTGATGAGAGTTTGGAAATGTGGGAGAGAATGAAGAAGAATGAGTGTGAAATGGATTCGTTTACTCATAGCAGTTTGATATGTGGGTTATGTGAGGCGGGAAATATTGTTAGAGCTGTGGAGGTTTATGAAGAAATGGTCAAGAGTGGAGTGGTGGTGGATGTTGTTACTTATAATGCATTGCTTAATGGGCTTTGTCGTGCCGGGAAGATTAAGGAAAGTTTTGAGTTGTGGGTTATGATGGCGAAGGAGAATTGTCACAATGTTGTTAGTTTTAACATATTTATTAGAGGATTGTTTGAAAATAGGAAGGTTGAAGAAGCTATTTCTATTTGGGAACTCTTTCGTAAAAAGGGTAGTGGAGCTGATTCTACTACTTACGGAGTTTTGATTCATGGGTTGTGTAAGACTGGTCATTTGAATAAGGCTTTGAAGATATTGAAAGATGCAAAAGATGGAGGAGATAAGCTGGATGCTTTTGCATATTCTTCGATTGTTGATGGGTTAAGCAAACATGGGAGAGTAGATGAAGCGTTGGGCATGGTGCATCAGATGGATAGTGATGGCTGTAAGTTGAGTCCTCATGTTTGCAATCCATTGATTAATGGGTTTGTCCGAGCTTCTAAACTTGAGGAAGCAATTAAATTTTTGAGGGAAATGGAATCCAAAGGTTGTTCTCCGACTATTGTCTCCTATAACACTCTAATAAATGGTCTTTGCAAGGCAGAAAGATTTAGCGATGCATATTCTTTTGTAAAGGAAATGCTAGAAAAAGATTGGAAGCCAGACATGATCACTTATAGCTTATTGATGGATGGCCTTTGTCAAGGCAAGAAGATGGATATGGCCCTCAACTTGTGGCGCCAAGTTCTTGACATGGGTTTGGAGCCTGATGTAACCATGCACAACATTTTGATACATGGGCTCTGCTCTGCAGGCAAAATTAGAGATGCTTTGCTGCTCTATTCAAATATGAAGCAGTCAAACTCTCTTCCCAATCTTGTTACGCACAACACACTTATGGATGGGCTCTATAAAGCCAGAGAGTGTGAAAAGGCATCAGTGATTTGGGCTTGCATGTTCAAATATGGGTTTCAGCCAGACATAATCTCCTACAACATTAAACTCAAGGGGCTTTGTTCTTGTGGTAGAATATCGGATGGCATTTTGCTCTTTGATGATGCATTGAAACATGGAATACTTCCTACTGCCATTACATGGTATATACTTGTCAGAGCCGTGTTAATGTTGGGACCTCCTGATTCATCGTCCTCAAAGTAAGTTATTCTTTTCTGGATTTTTATTTATATATGAGTAGCTTTTATCAGTATGACAGGAAAAGCGGTTCTCCCACCATACACTTTTCTGCTTCTACTAGAGATTTGACATTTGCAGTTTCACGCTGACGAAATATATTCCTACAGCTACCAGTCTCATAGCTAGTTTGGAGAGATGCTAAGATCTGTACAAATTCCTGGGTTCAGGAGGTAACAGTTATCCCGCATTCATTTCAAAGGAATCGCAATGTGTGCAGTGGGAAGTCTAATGGATATGCTCATACTGGTATGAGGTTTTCAGAAGGTGATAACAACTATAATCTGCTTATTTTCATTGCAGTTGGAACTTCCTTACTGCAAACGTTGTTTTCTTAATATCGTGGCAATACTTGCAGGTGCGAATGGATCTTGCTTATGACAACTTCAACACAGCCTCCAACCACCTCTTAGGCGAGCAGTGAGTATTAACGTCCAGATTGCCATTTTAGCCCTTCATCATCTATTTTTACTTGATCATATTAATTCAGGGCCCCTAAATCTTCTTTTCCATTATCGGCATACTTTTTCAGAAACTTCCACTGGAAAACCCTTATGGACGAGTAATGTTTAGTATCAAAATGTCCCAAGTATGTTATCTCTTTCCTAAACCTTGAATTCTTCTGCTTTTTTTTTTCTCTGGTTTGCTCAGCTGTACAATGGCAAATCTACCCGCAAATAACATAAAGTAACCAAAAAAAATTTAAAAAAATTAGTTTTTTAAACAGGGGGACTAATTAATTTGTTTCTCAAAACTAGATGGACTAATTTATTATCTATTCAACACTTCAAGCAAATTCACAAAAAGTGCTTAGCCAGAAAAAAAAAAAATGCTGTACAACAAAAAGTATTAAGAAAATGATCGCAGACAATTCTCAGAAACTAGTCATAACAACATGAGTACTACGGCCTTTCGGTAGTTTGATTACAGTGATGGGAAAGTTAGCAAAGCATCAGCCATGGTAACCCAGTTACTCGGATCTTGGTGAGGCAGTCATATCACCAGGATCAAACGTAGATGATGCAAAATAAAACAGCTTGATGTATCAAATCCAAGTTGTAAGTTTCCACTTGGGGCTATTAATCATGCTATATTCATTCAGAATGGTATATCTAAGATTTTTACACCGTAAATTCATTATACTGAGGGAAAAGGAGACTTCACTTTTCTTTATCTGTCTTCCTTTTCTGCTCTTTTTATGTCTGATGATAATCTCTGCTCGTAGCTGAACTGAGTGATCAAACCCACTAAAATTGCTCCGAGAACTGCAACTTTTCGCCAATCAGGTGAAGAAGAGACGAAGGAATCAGCAATCACAATGGCGAGTACACCCATTAAAGCAAGGTAAATGTTCTTCCTGGTTTTTGATCCTGCTTTTTCGATAGTCAGATCTTTAATCTTTTGTGCTTTCTCCTTAGCTTTGGCCTTATCAACTGGTGCATTTTGGCCCAGGTTCTTGAAGAACATCCCCTCATTCCGTTCCTTCTCCATTTGACCTTCAAAATCTGCTACCTTACTATCATTCTTCTCAATTTCTGTTCTGTTCAATTCTGCAGATTCCTCAAAAGCTTGCATCTGGCTCTCTATGTTCTCCATTATCTGCAAAGCAAAAATAACGAATTAGAAGCAGACTATCAACAGAGTTGCTAAGAAACATAATTTTGTTATTCCTTAAGCATTTCATGATTTGCGTTGAGAGTGGAGTAGTTGGACAGACCCTGGCACCTGCTTCATCGAGTCCTTTGAGAGCATCCTCTCCAATTTTGTCAAACTCAGCATTGGCTTCTTCAGCAAATTGAGTTAGATAAGCTGATCTCTCGTCCAAGTAATCAGTGAGACGGACCTTTTGAGTTTGAAGCATCGCTATCCTGGCAAGCAGTTCTTGTTTTTGAGTATCCCCTTCAGGTGGGGAAGCCTCAGAGTCAGAATCATTAGACTTGCAAAGACACAGGATGGAGTTCTTTGTGTTGGATGGCTTTCTAGCGTGGAAAAAGCCATGATTTGTAGGAGCAAATGAGGTGTTAATGGCTTTGAGGGAAAACATGTTTCTTTCTACTTTGAGAGGGAGAGTATGGGAAGGGGAGCGGAAGGGAGGGAGGGAAGTTATATGGGCAGTTGGTTTATTTTGGGCCTTTCAATAGGTGGACATTATCCATTATTTATGAGTTTAATATTTGTTTTATTTGTTCAAGAATACCCTTTGACTTTCGAATTTGACCTTACTTTCTGCACTTGTTTGATTGCTTCCTTGTTGCATTTGCCCATAATCCCATAATAATAATCCGAGCTTACGCTCTCTTACATCATTCTTCCTTTCGAAAGAAACGTTATGCTCTTTTTCATTTTTCTTTTTTTATGCTTTAGGATATACTAGGTCTAAAGATTCATATTAAATTTTTATTGGTTTGTTAGATGCATATAGAAATAATTATTTAAAGAGTTTTATGTATATTCAAAATTTTGAATTTAAAATTATTTATTTATTCTTAATGAATTATGGTAGAAATTTTCATTTCATGGTTATTTTTTAAATAAATTAGTTGAGTTTCGAGTTTATGAGGATATTTTCATGAGCTTAGATAAGAATGACCCAACATCCAATGATAAACACAAGAATAGATTATATAATAACCTAATATTTAAGATTAAATTAAGAGTAATTAGATTTGTAGGACAAATTGGAGCCAATGCATAGAATATAAAAACAAATTATAAACTAGTTTTCTTAACTTTCATGTAAAATGAGCCGACTACTTTTTTTCATTTCTGGTATAAGTTAGATAATAATCAAATTTCTATATTAATTATTAGATACTCCAAATTTTATATATAAAAGCTTTTCAATGTTTGGTGTGTACTACAAAATAACGAAATTTCTAAACTAAATTCTCTGTAATATATATAAGCTTTCAAGTGTTTTCCTTTCTTTAAGACTAAATGGGTCAAATTTTTTCTAATTTTAATCTATTTGAAAATCAATCTTTAAATTTCTAATTTCAGATTTGATTTTTCTTAAACTGTATTTTTTAAAAGTTCAGTTTATTTTTTAGTTTTCTCTAAAAAATAATTATCACATAAATAGCCTTATGATAAAATCATTCGGTAAGATTTATTTAGAGCTCTTTGAAAAATTTGAAATCATTTTGTGTTATTTTCTATTTTTTTTATTTTTCGCATTTTTAATGTTCAGAACATAAAAAATATATATATATAATTTCCTTTCTTAAAAATTTATTTATTTTTTTTTAGAAAAAATATTAGACTTTTTTCAACATGTGTGCAAAGCTTCAAGTCGAAATACTAATAACTGTTTTTTAAAAAAAGAAAAAAAAATGGTGACAGCTGAAAATCATAAGATAGACTAAATCTAAAAAATAAAAATAAAAAATTTAGAGAAAGTCAAATCCGAAATTAGAAGTTTAAAGAATAATTTTCAAATAAAATAAAATTCAAGAATGTTTTGACCCATTTAACCTTTTTTTAAATTGGAAAACAAAATTTCTCGTTTTTTTTCCCTTTTCACCATAAAACAATTATTATTATTATTATTAACGAAAACCTACCGAGAGGCAAAGCCCAATACAATGGACAAACTCAGGTATCAATTAGTTCAGAAACACAAGGCAACTGGTTCCCTTCAACTAAAACAGATTAAAATAGAAAAACCTGGGATTTTGAGCAACGGCATGCTGATAAAGAAACGTTGTTATGAGTTAGTTGTTAGTTAGTTGAGTAAGCAACTGATTGTAGAGAGAATTGTGCAGACAGTTTTTATATAACTTCTCTCTGATTTCTTCGATAAAAACCTTTATGTCCTGCATGGTTGTGAACTTGGGACCTCTAAATTATCTCAACAGTTCTTAATGAGAATTTACTATCACTAGAAAGAATCCAAGTGACTTGAATCCAAGTGACTTCACCATTGCATGAAAAATAAAATTTAATGACACTAGAGGTCCCTTTAATTAGTATCAATTTTCGACAAAAAAAAAAAAAAAACCCTTATAGTTTTAATTTGGGCATTTGGACCTTACGGTTTAGTCCGTTGGACAACATAAGTCCCTTCGTCTATAGTCAACCTAATTTTCCATTAGTTTTGAATTTTAAAGAGGAGTGAGACTTGTGCCAATTTGATGCGTGCTGAGCGCAACCAATTTTTTTTTTCAACCTTCTAATTCCTAAAATGTATATAGAATGAGCAAAAATCGAATCCATATGAACTAATTAATCAAATCATAGTAAGAGGGGATGAAAAAAAGAGGTTTTGTTTATAACGAGCAATGAAAACTTATAGAAATCAATAAAGAAAAACTCAATCAAAGATGATATCGATTCAAAGAAACTTTCTCATGGTAGCAAACTGATCACTCTGAACATTTAAATATATAATTTTGCTATGCAAATATTTAGCCGAGAGATTATTAGGAAGCCAAATAATCTCTACCTTTCGTAATTTCATTAATCTAAGCCCAAGCACATAAATTAATCCTTTTCAATAAATCAATTGGTATTAAGCAATCCTCTTAGATTTATTGATAGCACTATGCAGATTAGAAAGTAGTTAAACATGAATAACAATTGACCAATCATCAATTTATTTAATTCACTCTATCTTTTAAACAAATAACAAAAACTTGGATCATAATTGCTTTATTTAATTGCTACTCTAACTAAAAGTCATAATAATTATGGATTATGATTTCGGTTTAGCTATAAACCATACAATTGAATCAATTAATATATCTCTTAATTAATTTAATCATGGGATCATAACATATAAAATTAAGAAACACGAGATACTTGAATAGAAAAATTATCGATATCTCTTAACTAAAAGTCATAATAATTATGGATTATGATTTCGGTTTAGCTATAAACCATACAATTGAATCAATTAATATATCTCTTAATTAGTTGAATCATGCGATCATAACATATAAAATTAAGAAACACGGATACTTGAATAAAAAATTACCGATATTAAAAATAGAGTGCCATAATTTATTAATCGGACCGAGTATCCTTGAATCAACTATATGAAATTAGCTAGAAAAGAATGCAATAAAATATCCAATAAAATTCAAAGAAAAGGCGAGAGAGAGGAGAAGAGTTTTTATCCTATCAATCCCTATCACAAAAATATTGAAAAATATAACCGATTCTTAATTTTCTCCTAGAATTCGGAAAGTCTAATTTCCTATTCGACTTTCGTTGTCGGATATGGACTAGATACATGCCAAATTAGTTTTATTTCTTTAGGAGAGCTATATCCTATTCCTTATCTTTCAAACTCATTAATTGCATCAACTAGAGATCCATGGCTCCGGTTATGGGCCAAACACTACCATTGACTCAACCAATCTACCCGAAGTAAAAAATCCAACTTTGCGGCTAAATTCTTCCATCAAACCAATATAGTTTGGACTCATACTCTTCATAAGAATTATAGGCATGCCTCTTAAATCTCACATGGGCTTGGCCTTGCATCAATTGGAGTCTAAAACTCTATATATGAATTAAAATCCACAATTGGCTTGGACTCTATGTCAAATTTGGACAACTTTATAAATCAAACTATGAAATGTCGTTTGGAGGCCCAAAAAAACTTAGATTTTTACCTACCATACCATTCCGGAAATCTTGAGATGTCGTATCCAAAATCTCTAAAGGTCACTTCTTCTAAATCCAACTCCAAAGCTTTGGAAAACTTTCAAGAATCCCGGAAGATCTAAGTTAAACATGCTGAATTTCTCTAATTTTTAAGCACAATTACTCTTAATTCCTAGTTTATGTCTTAAACATGAATATGTGCATAAATTATTGCAATAAGACGTAAAGCATAACAAATAAACTAAATATAAAGAGAATAAAAATATAATATAATGTCTCTATCAAATTCTCCAACACTTAGCTTTTGCTAGTCCTCGAGTAAAACAAGCAAACTAAATGAAATGAAATACTTTCTAACTTACTTTCTTAGGAATCATAATTGCATTTAGCATGTACAACAAGCCATTGAACCCCTAAGTCATCCCTAGTGGATGAATTGTATCTCGTGAGGATTTTCGGAAGATATACTCATAAAATCGTAGGTGATTGTCATGCAAGTACAAATATCCTTCAAATATTGAATTTTAGTTCAAAACATAACAAAATCAAATAATCAAGTTCATGTGTTTAAAATATCACTTTCATATCTATGCATGTCTCTAAATCAATTTATGCACTTTTATAATCAATATAATTTAAGAATGTAACACTTATCTTATCATTATCCCCTTTCACTACTACAAACAAAAGCAATAAATCAAGACCTTTTTTTTTACATTTTCTTTTCTTAATTTTTTTAGCATTCCAATTCTTCTTCAAAGCCTCTAACAACTCTTCCCTAAGTAACCATTCACCTTTTTTCGTGAATAGTAACATTTGTGATGAAAGCACTCGATTATTCAACAAGTCATAAACTTAAAGTGTTTTGCATACTCATGATTCAAGTTACCGTTTGACATAAAAATAAATATTAGTGATTAAAGTTACCGTTTGACATAAAAATAAATATTAGTGATTAATACCCATAGTTACTAACCAACTTAAAACTTTGGAGTAGATTTACGATTCAATCAATAACGTCAAATTTTATACTTGGAATGCTTTCTTTTTTTCTTTCTTAAAATTAAATAAATAACTAGAAAATCTTGTTTTACTTAAACCTTGCTTAGGCATAGTTTCAAAAGGTAATTTCAAAATAAACATTACTTTAAAGAATCATGTTTAGTCATAAATAAACATAAATTTTTTCATTATGCATGCACTTTCATGGTAATAACATTCAAAAAAGTCTCAAATTTCTCATAAGATCTTGTTAAAATTCTACATCAATCATCAAATAAGAAGGATATCATATTACTCATAGCATTCACTTTTTTAAAAAAAAATTAAAATTATAAGACAAAAATTAAAGACAGACCTAAATCCTAAATCCTTTCCCCCTACACTTAAAACTCTAACTTTGCATCTTTTGTTATCTCAATCTAAATATACCAA